TATCAGAAGGTTAAAGTTTTCCAACCTTTCTCCGTCGTATCCACCTTTCATCCGTCGATATCTCCGCTTTCTACTGGAAGTAGCGAGTCGTCATGTAGTCAAAATTGTAGGTTTGAAAGGGCTTTAATTTGGTACCTGTCCGAAGCCTGTATCTCTAACCGATTAGGAGATATCGAAGTTAAAGTTTTCCAACCTTTCTCCCGACGATATCTCCGCTTCTACTGGGAGTAGAGAGTCTCCATGTAGTCCAAAATGTAGGGTTTTGAAAGGGCTTTAATTTGGTACCTGTCCGAAGCCTGTATCTCTAACCGTTTAGGAGATATCGTAGGTTAAAGTTTTCCAACCTTTCTCCGTCGATATCCAGCCTTCATCCGTCGATATCTCCGCTTCTACTGGGAGTAGAGAGTCGTCCATGTAGTCCAAAATGTAGGGTTTTGAAAGGGCTTTAATTTGGTACCTGTCCGAAGCCTGTATCTCTAACCGTTTAGGAGATATCGAAGGTTAAAGTTTTCCAACCTTTCTCCGTCGATATCCAGCCTTCATCCGTCGATATCTCCGCTTCTACTGGGAGTAGAGAGTCGTCCATGTAGTCCAAAATGTAGGGTTTTGAAAGGGCTTTAATTTGGGTACCTGTCCGAAGCCTGTATCTCTAACCGTTTAGGAGATATCGAAGGTTAAAGTTTTCCAACCTTTCTCCGTCGATATCCACCTTCATCCGTCGATATCTCCGCTTCTACTGGGAGTAGCGAGTCGTCCATGTAGTCCAAAATGTAGGGTTTTGAAAGGGCTTTAATTTGGTATCTGTCCGAAGCCTGTATCTCTAACCGATTAGGAGATATCGAAGTTTAAAGTTTTCCAACCTTTCTCCGACGATATCTCCGCTTCTACTGGGAGTAGAGAGTCGTCCATGTAGTCCAAAATGTAGGGTTTTGAAAGGGCTTTAATTTGGTACCTGTCCGAAGCCTGTATCTCTAACCGTTTAGGAGATATCGAAGTTTAAAGTTTTCCAACTTTCTCCGACGATATCTCCGCTTCTACTGGGAGTAGAGAGTCGTCCATGTAGTCCAAAATGTAGGGTTTTGAAAGGGCTTTAATTTGGTACCTGTCCGAAGCCTGTATCTCTAACCGTTTAGGAGATATCGAAGGTTAAAGTTTTCCAACCTTTCTCCGTCGATATCCAGCCTTCATCCGTCGATATCTCCGCTTCTACTGGGAGTAGAGAGTCGTCCATGTAGTCCAAAATGTAGGGTTTTGAAAGGGCTTTAATTTGGTACCTGTCCGAAGCCTGTATTTCTAACCGTTTAGGAGATATCGAAGTTTAAAGTTTTCCAACCTTTCTCCGACGATATCTCCGCTTCTACTGGGAGTAGAGAGTCGTCCATGTAGTCCAAAATGTAGGGTTTTGAAAGGGCTTTAATTTGGTACCTGTCCGAAGCCTCTATCTCTAACCGTTTAGGAGATATCGAAGGTTAAAGTTTTCCAACCTTTCTCCGTCGATATCCAGCCTTCATCCGTCGATATCTCCGCTTCTACTGGGAGTAGAGAGTCGTCCATGTAGTCCAAAATGTAGGGTTTTGAAAGGGCTTTAATTTGGTACCTGTCCGAAGCCTGTATCTCTAACCGTTTAGGAGATATCGAAGGTTAAAGTTTTCCAACCTTTCTCCGTCGATATCCAGCCTTCCACCGTCGATATCTCCGCTTCTACTGGGAGTAGAGAGTCGTCCATGTAGTCCAAAATGTAGGGTTTTAAAGGGCTTTAATTTGGTACCTGTCCGAAGCCTGTATCTCTAACCGTTTAGGAGATATCGAAGGTTAAAGTTTTCCAACCTTTCTCCGTCGATATCCAGCCTTCATCCGTCGATATCTCCGCTTCTACTGGGAGTAGAGAGTCGTCCATGTAGTCCAAAATGTAGGGTTTTGAAAGGGCTTTAATTTGGTACCTGTCCGAAGCCTGTATCTCTAACCGTTTAGGAGATATCGAAGTTTAAAGTTTTCCAACCTTTCTCCGACGATATCTCCGCTTCTACTGGGAGTAGAGAGTCGTCCATGTAGTCCAAAATGTAGGGTTTTGAAAGGGCTTTAATTTGGTACCTGTCCGAAGCCTGTATCTCTAACCGTTTAGGAGATATCGAAGGTTAAAGTTTTCCAACCATTCTCCGTCGATATCTCCGCTTCTACTGGGAGTAGACAGTCGTCCATGTAGTCCAAAATGTAGGGTTTGAAAGGGCTTTAATTTGGTACCAGTCCGAAGCCTGTATCTCGAACCGTTTAGGAGATATCGAAGGTTAAAATTTTCCAACCTTTCTCCGTCGATATCCAGCCTTCATCTGTCGATATCTCCGCTTCTACTGGGAGTAGAGAGTCGTCCATGTAGTCCAAAATGTAGGGTTGAGAGGGTCTCAAGAATATATTGTTGCAATAGCGCCCTGACTTTTGTTAACTTATTGATTTTTGGAAATTTCAAAATCGTCAAATTAACAAAAATCAGGGCGCTATTGTAACAATTTATTCTCGAAACTAAATAAAGCAAGAAAGTCTAGCACCACTTTTTCTTCCGACAAATAATTAGCGAGATATCGGAAGTTTAAATATTGAAAAAGTTATCAAGTTTTCCTCAAATATCTCAAAAAATATTATACAAATAAAAAAATGTTTTAGACAAAAGTTATTCAAGTTAGCTAGTAGAAAGAGACAGTGTCATAAAAAATAATGGTTCCCATTTAAAAAACGCGAGTTTCAAATGACCTTGAAAATAGAGGTCAAGGTCAAAGTCAAGATCATCATAAGGTAGTTCACTTAAATCCCTGCAACTTTTATTCAGATCATTTTGCTTGAAACTTCAATACTGAATGTCGGACACCAGGGTATCTATTATGGAACTCGTCGGAATCGATTCCGATCGGAATAATTCCGTTTCCCCTAGAGAAGAGCAATAGAACTCTAGAAAATAACGGAATAAATTCGATCGGAATCGATTCCGACGAGTTCCATATTGGGTGCATTCAGTACTACAACCGCTCACTGAGCGCTCAATGAGCTTTTACATTTGATTGGTATATTCTTTTAGATTTAACAATATATACCAATCAGATGCAAGAGCTCACTTAGCACTCAGTGAGCGGTTGTAGTACTGAATGCATCCACCAATAGGCACCACCCAGGATGGTAGATACTTTTCGGGGTCATGTATTGAGAGTCGGAGCTAGCAGTCTAGTTATACTATACAAGTCTATGGACATAACATGATCCTATCGTCGTAATCGATTCTTCTTCACATGAACTCGGTCACATTTTTTCGATAGCTTCATCGATACATTTCACTTATCGACATTCACCGATTGTACGACCGAAGTGATCGACCGCTTGTTTTATCGATACAATTTGTGCCCGTGTGGAACTTTCCTTTTCATGCTCTACGAACAAGTTTATCGAATAGTGCCTATAATTTTATAAGTTCGCATCGTTTCAACGTCGTGCCAACGCGCAAAACGCGATGTTTCGAGTGCCTGAAAGCTACACGCGCACACACCGTTGAAATAACGGATTCTTTTTCTCAGTGAAACGCCTTCGATATTCGAGTGACGCGCTGAGGTTATCACTCTTTTATCCACCGCAACGTTTATCCTGGCGTCAAATAATGTCCCGCAATCGTGACCAAGTGCCCGCTGAAAAATACACTTGTGTCACTATCGACGATTAACGTCCATATCAATTACATATTATTATTCGCGTCGATTTGCTCGTACCTAATCGTACCTGTCTCTGACTATGGTTAACGTATAACCTATAATTTTCTCCTTGTCTCTTGTTATTCTTTCTTTCGCTAAACAATTTCTTACCTTTGTACATATTGCTGTTAATATCGGTCAATGACTCATTTACCTCTTGTGTACACGATGCAAAGTACCCATTACATTTTTTTCTCTGGTTCTTATATATCTGTATGCAAATTGTCGACACAGGAGTATACACACACACACACACATATGTACTCACATCATAAAATATCCCTGTGCCCCGACACGCATCCGCAGATATTAACCGCTGACATATTTTTTTTCCCCATCAAGATATCGATAGAAGGCAATGGGTACAACGCCGAGTCGCTATGAAGATCTCTCCAAGAATGTACATTTGGAAAAATTCTGTGGGAAGCAGAGTATACTCACCGATGATTCATTTTGGAATACATTTCTATCCTATAATATGCGCCCTCCTATCACAAGAAATGATCAGATAGAACTTGACTCTCGTTTGGATTTGTCATGCCAGCGGTTGCTTGTCAATAATTTGACTACTGGCAACTTTGGCACCCTCATACAAGTTGCTCTTATGCGCATCAACGAACTCCTTGCTCCTGTTCAAAATCAAAAGTAAGTCCCATCTGCTTTTTCCCCGCCGACTGTAGCCTCACCTACAGAAGCCGGATCGCTAAACCCTAATTATATCTGTTCATATTCTTCCGGCGTGTTCCTCACACCTCCATCCATACTGCCATCCGTTCCATAATGCTGCACTGATTCTTCACCATTTTCCTCCATTTTTCTTTGCAGTATAATATCGGCCTGGCAAACGTACAACGCGCTCTTTGCTGTCAGGTGTATCTTGAAATATCTCATTGAGACGGTCGGTGAGGAACAAATGCTCAAGCATATCGAAGCACCGCTGACAACTGCGACGCACGAAGCGATGTCCTCTTACAGACTGGAAGAATTCTTCGAGGCTTTGATAGAACTTATTACGGATGTACCTTTGTGGTGAGTGCGTCCACATGTTGCTGCTTCTTTCTACCGCAACATCTCTTCTTGATTCTTGTACATATCTGCGGTCCGTGTACGAGTATATATTATGTGTGTATGTGTTTGCTTACAGTGAATTTACATACGTCGTTCACTTGGAAGCGATTAATTGTTTACTTGTGTTGCTCTCGGTGCAGCTGTTTTCCCAAACTGCAGCCGAATACAGCGCCGTGTATAGGATAGCGATGCATGCGCATTCCAGCAGCTGCAGCCAACATGCGCCAGCTGTGGTGTGCACACTGTTGCACAATTTTATTCAACAGGAACACGCTCCTCCGGGACTGCTGACGCAACAACCCGGTGGTGGGATTGTATTCAGTATTGCTGGTAAATACCGCGACGAAAGCGATCTACTTTGCGACCCATGTTTCTTACTTTTCGACCGTTCGCGTTGAGCTGATCGTCGTTTCAGCTGGTCTCTGGAACGTCATAAGAATGGGTATGGGCAGTGGTTTGAAGAACGTACAGATTGCCCATAATGGCGCTACCGAGGACGAAGAGAAGAAGCGTGACACGGAGACTCCGCTCGCTAGTCAATCCTTGTTGTTGCTGTTGGTTTTGACCAATCATTGCACCGCTATACAAAACCCCTACAGAAGCGCACTTTTCTCTTTTATAGATATGCAAGGCGAGTATTTCTCGAACCGACTGATTCATTCCTTGATTATTCGCTCGACGCGGATCGTTGACAGATCATTCCTACCGGTATCTCGATAAATTCGAATCGTCTGTAGCTTGCAGTTTACTCTTCGATCTCAACAAACGACTCATGTGTCTTTCCTTTCTTTCTTTTTTCTTCCTTTCTTTCCTTCTTTCTTGCTCTCTTTCTTTCTTTCTTTCTTGCTTTCTTTCTTTCTTTCTTTCTTTCTTTCTTGCTTTCTTTCTTTCTTTCCTTCCTTCCTTCCTTCCTTCCTTCCTTCCTTTCTTCCTTCCTTCCTTCCTTCCTTCCTTCCTTCCTTCCTTCCTTCCTTCCTTCCTTCCTTCCTTCCTTCCTTCCTTCCTTCCTTCCTTCCTTCCTTCCTTCCTTCCTTCCTTCCTTCCTTCCTTCTTTCTTTCTACAGAAGATTACAATACGTCGCTGACAAAAGGAGCCGATGCCTTCAAGTTTAATCTTGATAAATTGTACAGTACTATTTGTAAGATACCAAACACAGACCAAGTCACGCTCCTGCTCTACATGTTGTTGCACAGAAATTCGAGCGTCAAGCAGGACATAATGAGAAGGCCTGACATACAATTACTGGCAAGTGGTCCCTGTGTGATACTTTTTCTCTTCCTTTTTCTTTCCACGAGTCATCGTTGTGTACGCACAACGAGACATACAATCGAGTATTTCACACGTTGAAACACTTGTTCGCACCCACAGGTAACACCGATATTGCAGATCCTGTATCATGCGCCAAACAATACGTCGCATCATATTTACATGTCTCTCATCATCCTCCTCATTTTGAGCGAAGATGAAACGTTTAACAAGCGGATACATGAGATTGTAAGTAACTAAGCGATAAGCGTGTCTCTCTACGCAGCTCTCTCCTGATTCCTACTCTTTTTTCCGACTCTCTGATCTAAGGACAATCTCTCTCGTTTTTCTCTTTCTTCTCAAGATGCTCAAGGGTGTCGCGTGGTACACCGAAAGATCCATTAGCGAGATATCATTGGGTGGTCTTTTGATCCTCGTCGTTATTCGCACGATACAATACAACATGTTTAAAATGAGAGTAAGCAACGCGCTCTTCTTTCTCTATACACCGAGTGGTACACATACAACGAGTATACATATACAACGCGCGTACGCTCATTCGTATTCATCGTATATCTTCTCTCTTTCTCATCGCCAGGACAAATATCTTCACACAAACTGTCTAGCAGCTCTGGCGAACATGTCGGCTCAGTTCACGTCGCTACACCCTTATGTCAGTCAGAGACTGCTGAGTCTGTTTGAAACACTTGCTAAGAAGCACGCGCGACTAGAGGCGAAGATTCGAACGCAACCGACAACTTTGGCCGACAGTACCGTTGTAACTGTCAATGGAGCTGTTGCCAGTACAGATTTGGTAATTGTGTAAAATCGTATCGACGCACTGGCGCACTGGATCTGGACCGTTTCACCGACACACGCACCCAGTCTCGCCGTCTGTGCGTGCGTATGCGATGCGTGTGCGTGATACACACTGTATTGTTCCAGATTCAAGACTTGACCATACTGGAAGAGGTTCTGCGGATGGTGCTAGAAATTATAAATAGCTGTTTAACCCATAGACTCGCGCACAATCCCAACTTGATTTATACCCTCCTCTACAAGAGAGATGTTTTCCAACCGTTTAGAACACATTCCGCTTTTCAAGATATCGTGCAAAATATCGATTCTGTGAGTTTCTCCGGCCACTCGAATGACTTTTCGCGAACGATGTTTCGTGCATGCGTGCGTGCGTGCGTGCGTGCGTGCGTGCGTGCGTGCGTGCGTACGTACGTACGTACGTACGTACGTATATCGTAACAATTTCATCGTGACAATTTCAATCGGCACGCCAAATTATTTTTAGGTAATAAACTTCTTCTCTTATAAATTGGAGCAAAAGGACCAGTCGCAAATCGGCGTTAGTCAAGTACTAGCCACTATACAACAAGGGACCTTGGAATGGCCACGAGATCGTTTGAGAGTGTGTAAACCGATGGTTACGAATCCATTCACTTGTCGCTTGTTCCCTTGCAACAACTTGGATTCATCTTGGATCGTTCGGCTCTCGTACCGTCGATAATAATACTGCTTTTCTTGTCTGTCTCGTGTAGAAATTTCCGGAACTCAAGTTCAAGTATGTAGAGGAGGAGCAACCGGAGGAGTTCTTCATACCTTACGTGTGGAGCGTCGTTTGTCAAGGAGCGCTGTTGCACTGGAGCGCGGAGAACATAAAATTATTTTCCCCCAACAATGGCGAAACGACCATTATTGTTTGCTGATATTGAGACGAAGGATGCACTGTGCTATAAGTATTATATTCAAAGTGATAACTTAAGATTGATAATAAGCGCGATACCGTAAATTTGTTTGTAACATTCGTCGGAAGCTAAAGTGTAATCTTCTTTCTTTTCCTTCCGATGCGAAAGAACAGGGGAGTTTTCGGGAACTTTGTGACGAACGACGTGACGTGAAAACGTCTTAGCGCAGCATACGCAAGGAGAATAGAAATATTCATCGATAACCAATGTGATATCTCAAGTATCGTACAAAGAGATCGATGTGATCGAAGAATTATTGCCTGAAACGAGACATTTCTGACCATATTAGCGCTTCTTTCTATTGTATTCCTTCAATACTTATCACGAAAATGGCAAGAAGAGGAGCGTACGAACATATTTAAGTTTGTTAAACGATCGTCTTTTCGTTTTTCCGTTCGTATTGTATACTTTGTTCGACAAGGTGAGGAGAAAAAGGAAAGGAAAATGGTAGTATAAACTGGATATACTGATAGATATTATGATGCCAGTGAAATGCAGTGTTCTTGCACGAGGACTGATTCGAGTTATTGTTATCGGAACATTTGCCATCATAGACGCCGCTGTTACCGAACCGTGGAACTGTGGATAGAAGCTAATGTTACGATATTGATTCTCTGTTAGTGTACACATTTTACAGCGGTTACAATGTTATAATAGTGTAAGTAAGTACTACGCAATTTACGAATATCTGCGTAACTTTACGGAGCGTGATCTTTGATTGAATGAAATAATTTTCTGCTGGAATATGTGCGCGAATGGAATGTGAGGAGAAACGCGATTCAAATTATCAGAATATCAGTCTGAATTGTCAAGTCAATTTCTGGTTAATTCACATGGAATTCTGCTACTTTTAATCGGAAATACCGTATCGTTCGTATGTATTTCATTGGAAAATTCCTTCATTCGATCAAATATTTTTCTCCGGATTTGACACTAAAAGTTGCGACATCATCTTCGTACATGTTAGAAGATCTCCCCCTGGATGAATGTAACCATGAAACTAGACTAGATGTACAGTTTCGAGACGATTGCGTTATATAGAGAAATGTGTAAGAGATTATCCAGTTCAATTTCTTTCTCTCATAATAGCCTAATCGAAGTAGCATCGAAATGCAATCCCATGTCCCATGTGTCGCGTTTACCCGCGCACCTGTTTGTAAATAACTGTCGAGATAAAAATTATCCAAGAGCCAAATTTTCGTTTGTCTCATTTCAGATTTTGCAGCATGATACCTGCAGCGTAGCCCTGCAATTTCTCGCGCGCTGTATATACGCTGTATGTGCAAATATATACAATTTTTATTTAACACACACACACACACACACACACACAATAAAAAACACTCTTCTATGAGATATGATTGTCAATGACCCACTGTCACTCGTTCGAATCCGAGACATGTATGACTCAGGGAAGGGAGGGGAAATATGGGAAAGAATAAAAATAAATTCATCAACCACTTTTAACCGACGAGCCAATTACAAATGACACATTGCGCGCAACGCGCAACAATCATCTGTGAGATGTGATTATATGCGTATGATCCAATCGTTCGAAAGCGGTCGAAAACCCATCGACAATTCGCCGAGCGCGATGATGACCTGTCGGCTACAGAATGGTCATTTTGCATATATCTCGAATGTACATCTTTATTAAACAAATACAGTTGACGTCTTAGTGTTATTTATAATGTCGTTATAGATAATATTTCATTTTCCTAGCCTGTGCAGCGTGTATATGCGGCCGCGCGTGATCTTGCGTTGTGTTTGTGTGTGTGTGTGTGTGTTTATAGTTGTATCGTACTATTGCTAATACTTCAGTTTTGTTGAACAATCTTTCAGTTTGCAGAGTAACATGGTAATTTGACATTTTCTGTGCGTCGCGGTGCAGACGCGCCGAGTAACTCAGTGTGTCGCGTTAAATTAATGGCTCGTTTAAACATTGCCTTAGCCATATATCGCGTTATACGGCTTGAAACGTATGTGCTTAGCATACAGATAGTACAATATGTCTTTCTTCTTTTTTTCTTTTTTTTTTTGTTATTTATCCGTAATAATTAAATTCCTTAACTGTACTATATCGTTACTTAATCTTATTAGTTAACACACAATCTGCGATGGGAGGGAATTTTGTCGGCACGTAATATCATTCTATTACGGCCGAGCGCTAATCAGTAATAGTCAAACAACTCATTCGTCGTGCACCTCTTTTTACCGCTCACCTTTTCACGCCTGATCACGCATCATTATCGCAGGCGATTTCTTTACTTTTTATTACAGCGACGCACATGTGATTGGAGATTGTAACGAAACCGAATGAACACCGCTCGTAACACCGCTCGTGGTTACATTACGTTACATTCTTATGCACTGATGTATTTTACGTCGTGTATGTGACGTGAACTTTGTTTCTCCTTTCTTTCTCAGCTGTGTCTCGAGCGTTCAATGTCCACATCTCACGAAAAGATAAGAACTGTGTAAATAACTTAGTCGCGGAACCGGTACACACGGCAAAATATTGCTGACAAACTCTATCGAATAGTAAACCATTCTCGAGATCTGTCGAGATATGACTGTCCAATGACTGTGCAATCGGAATCTCTCATTCCTCTATCCGGTATAATCCTACTGTCTTTTTGTCATTGACGAAAACTCCACGAAATTCCGAGTTACCGTCCGAGTCAAACCATTGGAGAAGAAAAATTGTATAACGCGCTTGTAACGCAAGATATATATTTGTAAGATTTTTAAAAATGCACATTGATTCCTTGACTTGATTTCTCTATCTGCTGTCTCGAAAACAAACAAGACTTGAAGAAGTGAGGAAGAGCGAATGACTACGACTAACGATTCGCTTCGCGAAACGTTACAAATTCTCAAATCACACACGCCCGCGATTCTGCGCATCTATATGCGCGTCGAGATACGTGCGTACGAGAATGCGTGTGTATGCCTGTGTATGTGTGTAAAATCTACACGCGCATCGATGCCGATGACGTGCGTGTGTGAATGTGCGCCAGTGATAGCCGACAGTGGAAACTCTATACCTTTTGCAAAAATTTCAATACTTCATTTGCGTGTTATTATTTTAACTTACGACCTACCTCTCGCGCATTCTCTCGTTCCTCTTCAAATTTAAGATCAATTTCTCTAATCGTTAGGCGAATAGTGCACGCGCGCGCGCGCGCGCGTGTATATGTGTGTGTGTGTGTGTGTGTGTGTGTGTGTGTGTGTGTGTTGAGTGAAACTGCGAGGGTGAGGGTGAGGAAAGGGAATAACCTGTATATTTATATACGTAACATACATACATACATACACAAAGGTACCTGTGCGTATGTATACGTACACGCTAGCTGCCTACAAAATGCAATAGTACATTACAAATTCATACCGTCCCTTCTCTGCCCTCTTGTCTCTTATATATCATCATTTGCAAACAGCTTATATTTTTTATGTACTAGTATATTTATTTATATGTATATGTGTATATATACATATATAAATATATACACATATATACACATATATGTACATATTTACATATATGTATATATGTATGTATGCATGTATGTGTGTATATATCTATATATCTATATATACATATATATTTATATATATGTATATATATGTATATATATATATATATATGTATGTATATATATATAATAGTATCATCTAGTTGGTTTTGTTCTGCATAGTGTTCTTTCCTTTCCCGTTAGTTTATTAGTAATTAAGTACATCTTTAGAGCAGGTGTGCGCGCATCCCAGATTATAGACTCACACGCGTGTTACAATATTTATATTTGACTTCTTATTCTTATTTCTCGAATACCGGCCGAAAGAGATTTTTCATTTCTTGATCTATTTCAATATTACGTCAATTTTATTACAGTAAAATTGCTCTCACGCGATAATGCGCTTGCACGCGTTGGATTACAGGGAACCCTTTGTATTTCGTATCGCTTGAATTATAAATGTCTCATTCTCGCGATATTCTCAGTTCCGGACGTGTCTTTGGGATGTCTTCGTTTACTCCCATTTACAAGTGAGCCAAAATAATTCTGACATCAGAGAATCCGAGCTCCGAGCTGATGGAAACCAAAGTGACAACAAAACAATGGCAAAACTGGCCAAATTTACTTGCCTTACCGGGCCGGGGGAGGGGGGGGGTGGTGTGAGACACCCCGGTAGAGTCTGCTATATAGGTGCTTTCTGCCTGCGAGATATCCCCGTAATGCGACGCTCGATTTTTGCGCGCTCTCCTTTGCTTCGTTACATTCGACATCGCATAACATGCATGTACCGATCGAAGAGGATAAAAGGAGAGTTCGATAAATAGGTGCGTCGTTACGATACGATGTCGTATGCGTCATTAAATCGCGTCACGATATCGCGAGTATGCGACGATCAAACTTAGAATTAGCACAGTACCTCGCGTATCTCGCGAATTCATCAGCGAGCAAGATTCATCAGCGTGTGCTTACGATACGAACGCTTACGATACTCGAGAAGTAAGCGTACAGACGCGTGTATACATTCACGTAAGCTAATTTAGACACACTCGTAAAGGCCAGTTCTCCTTCTTTTGATCTTCCGACAACCACACTATATCGAATTTCGCGTGCGAGTTATTCGCGAGTTATGTCTCGATTGATCTTTTCCATCCATCTACCTCCACTCTGCTGTGCTTAGACGATGTGTGCTTTATATGCGAGAAACACGAGATTACTTTGCAAGATTCACTTTGCGATATATAAATTCTTTGCGTTGCGAAAACGCTGAAAGAAAAAACGGTACGAAAGCAAGCGTACAACACCGGTGTCTAGTGTATCATATGAATGTGTATGTATACGCGATCTCTGGTGTTATCGGGAACGGATGAACGATCGCACGCGTCCTCCCTCTACCTCTTTGTCTTTTTCTCAGTTCCATTCCTTGATCGTCAACCTCTCGTTCCGCTCTTGACCTTAACATTCGTGTCCGAACAAAACGAAATTGTCGATCGGAGCATCTGTTTTCGCACAAATCGGAAAAGTACGTGGAAAATATATGCCGTTGTAGCGATTATTTTCAGAACGGAGATAACGGAGAAAACAAAACGAAAAAATTATTCCTCGACAACCGACGATGGGAGAAACTTAGCATTACAACGACAAGTGGCGTACTACGTTTCGCGAGCGCGGATGTCCCCATGCGATTGCTTGTTGACGAAAAATTTCCGAAAACGTTTCCGACGAATACTTTATAAAAATGATATGATATGCTCATTGAAAAAATAAATTGTTCATTATAGTTTCCTATGAATATTATAGATATCCGTGCGCAAGAGTTCTCGGTACTAAGATGCATCCGGCCGAACAAACGGCCGGATTCGGTATAATTCTACATTACACAGAATATATAGCAAACATACAGCGCAACAGACAGACAGACAAATCCACGCACGCACGTACGCAGCATCCACACACACGCACGCGCACACAACACACACACACACACACACACACACACACACACGCACACGCACACGCACACGCACACGCACACGCACACGCACACGCACACGCACACGCACACGCACACGCACACGCACGCACGCACGCACGCACGCACGCACGCACGCACGCACGCTGCTCGTATCGTTCGCTTCGTTCGTTCGTTCGTTCGTTCGTTCGTTTTCGTTCGTTCGTTCTCGTTCGTTCGTTCGTCTCGGTTCGTTCGTTCTTCGTTCGTTCGTTCGTTCGTTCGTTCTTTCGTTCGTTCGGTTCGTTCGTTCGTTCGTTCGTTCGTTCGTTCGCCTTCGTTCGCTTCCGTCGTTCGTTCGTTCGTTCGTTCGTTCGTCGTTCCGTTCGTTCGTTCGTCTTCGTTCGTTCGTTCGTTCTTCTTCGTTCGTTCGTTCGTCGTTCGTTCGTTTTTTTTTTCGTTCGTTCCGTTCGTTCGTTCGTTCGTTCGTTCGTTCGTTCGTTCGTTCGTTTTTTCGTTCGTTCGTTTGTTCGTTCGTTTTTTTTTTTGTTCGTTCGTTGTTCTTCGTTCGTTCGTTTTCGTTCGTTTTTCGTTCGTTCGTTCGTTCGTTCGTTCGTTCGTTCGTTCGTCGTTCGTTCGGTTCGTTCGTTCGTTCGTTCGTTCGTTCGTTCGTTCCGTTCGTTCGTTCGTTCGTTCGTTCGTTCCGTTCGTTCGTTCGTTTTCTTCGTTCGTTCGTTCGTTCCGTTCGTTCGTTCGTTCCGTTTCGTTCGTTCGTTCGTTCGTTCGTTCGTTCGTTCGTTCGTTCGTTCGTTCGTTTTCGTTCGTTCGTTCGTTCGGTTCGTTCGTTCGTTTTCTTCGTTTCGTTCGTTTCGTTCGTTCGTTCGTTCGTTGTTCGTTCGTTTCGTTCGTTCGTTCGTTTTTTCGTTCGTTCGTTCGTTCGTTCGTTCGTTCGTTTTTGTTCGTTCGTTCGTTCGTTCGTTCGTTTTTTTTTTCGTTCGTTGTTCGTTTCGTTCGTTCGTTTCGTTCGTTCGTTCGTTCGTTTCGTTCGTTTTCTGTTCGTTCGTTCTTCGTTCGTTCGTTCGTTCGTTCGTTCGTTCGTTGTTGTTTTTCGTTCTTCGTTCGTTCGTTCGTTCGTTCGTTTCGTTCGTTCGTTCGTTCGTTCGTTCGTTCGTTCGTTCGTTCGTTCGTTCGTTCGTTCGTTCGTTCGTTCGTTCGTTTTCGTTCGTTCGGTTCGTTCGTTCGTTCGTTCGTTCGTTTTCGTTCTTCGTTCGTTTCGTTCGTTCGTTCGTTCGTTCGTTGTTCGTTCGTTCGTTCGTTTCGTTCGTTCGTTCGTTCGTTCGTTCGTTCGTTCGTTCGTTCCGTTCGTTCGTTCGTTCGTTCGTTCGTTCGTTCGGTTCGTTCGTTCGTTCGTTCGTTCGTTCGTTCGTTCGTTCGTTTCGTTCGTTCGTTCGTTCGTTCGTTCGTTCGTTCGTTCGTTCGTTCGTTCGTTTCGTTCGTTCGTTCGGTTCGTTCGTTCGTTTCGTTCGTTCGTTTTCGTTCGTTCGTTCGTTTCGTTCGTTCGTTCGTTCCGTTCGTGTTCGTTCGTTCGTTTTCGTTCGTTCGTTTCGTTTCGTTCGTTCGTTCGTTCGTTCGTTCGTTCGTTCGTTCGTTCGTTCGTTCGTTCGTTCGTTCGTTCGTTCGTTCGTTCGTTCGTTCGTTCGTTCGTTCGTTCGTTCGTTTCGTTCGTTCGTTTTTCGTTTTTTTTTTTCGTTCGTTTTCGTTCGTTCGTTCGTTCGTTCGTTCGTTCGTTCGTTCGTTCGTTACTCTTACACACATGCATATTCACACATACGCGCCCACGCGACACACGCACGCACACACACGCACGCACACACGAGAATCCGTTCATTACTTCGCGGCAAGTGACAGCGAATGCGCAATTGTGTCACCATTTCACGAGAAAGGAGGAAGGAAGGAAGGAAGGAAGGAAGGAAGGAAGGAAGGAAGGAAGGAAGGAAGGAAGGAAGGAAGGAAGGAGGGAGGGAGGGAGGGAGGGAGGGAGGGAGCGGCGAGCGAGCGAGCGAGCGAGCGAGAGAGAGAGAGAGAGAGAGAGAGAGAGAGAGAGAGAGAGAAAGAGAGAGATGAGTGAGCGCAAACGGTTAACGTACTCTACGGGATCATTGCACGTATGTGACGTATGTTTCCGACGCTGAGCATCGACGGGCATTGTCGAGACTCGTGACAGCTTCCGTACAACGACGCGTACATCACGCGGTAACGCGACGTCGCCCAATCAAGCGTTCGTTTCTTAACTTCTACAGCCGTTAACGATAAATGTCTAAAATATGTCTAAAATATACTCTTTGCAATAGCGTAGACGACAAAAAGTAGGGATCGCGTCAAACGCGGCGGCATTCAACGGTGAAAAACGGTGAAAGGTACGGGATAAAATCGTTATCGTTCAACGGATTTTGGCATTTGCCGTACATTCGGTGCGGTACGATATTGCAAAAAGTTTCTAATAACGACACAGAGCGACACCCGTTTTAGCTCGAAGACGGCTCGAGATTAACGGGACGAGATTGACGAACCGATTACGGCTATCGGGGATTCGCTATCAAAATATATATACGAGCGAGGAACGCAACGCACTACTGCTTAAAAAGGCACGTAAAAAGGTCAGTTTCTTCGTGAAAAGAGCGATTGCACAATGTATGAATATTGCGGTGGCAGATTGAAGGGAGGAAGGAGAAGAACGCAGAAGAACGAGGAAGAAGCGCACATTGGTCGTTCGATGGCTTTCTCCGTCCTGTGCTGCGCACATTACATTGGGTTTAGAATAATAATCGCCGCTCTCTCGACGAGACGACGAGAGTGACTCTCACCGCGGAATAATGAATGGACGCTGCATATATGTATACGTGGAGCAATACGTGCGCGTGTGCGGCATGCACATAACCGCGTAACACGATACCTGTCGTTAATTCGCCACATTCGTAAAGAACCGACGCGACAAACAAAGTCGATAAGGAAAAATCGATTCCTCAGGTGTCGAATAATGCCTTGGAAGAAGAAAGTGAAAACAAATAGTTACTCGACACTATGAACCGCTCAATTGTGTGTACGCGAAACCTGTTCCTTTATCAAATCCTTTTTCATTACCCGTAAGGGAGGCTCACCGAGGATTAACGGCCGAGCGGCGGCACGTCCCGAACAGCCGGCCGTTTCGTATCGATCGCATCGTATGTGCACGCACGCACATACGTATATTAACGGATATAATGCTATACCGATTACTGCTTTAATTACGATGAAGCGTTATCGTAAAATGACAAGTAGCGATGTCCACGCCACTGCCCTTTCATTGCCCTGTAGATTGATCGTGAAGGAACATTGTGCGAAATGATCCGCATAAAAAGTAAAATTGGCGATATGGGCTCAGTGTCGTATGGCCCAGAGGTTCGGCCCAATTCACGATAAGCAGCTTCCGAGCTCGACTCGACTCGATGTATCTATCACGCACGCACGCACGCGCGCGCGTGTTTTGCCGGCGCCGACCGATTACGCTCGTATCGTAATTCGTATCGGTTTGTATCGCTAATCACGAATGCTTTTGATCAAATACGAAAGACATGATTATTGCAAGAGGATACAATCGTGAGATCAAATGCGTATGGACCTTAGATAAAAGTTTATAGTCAAAAACGAGAAAGAGTATGAGTTGGCTCAGCAGTGTATCGCGTTTAAATACCTACGTTGCCGAGCCATCTTGCCTAACAATGAAACGAAAATAACTACCTCATAAAATGGCGAACAATGATCGTAGCGTTAGTACGAATAACGATTAAAATAGCGATAATCATAGGATAGCGTAAAAAGTCGGAAACGTGATTACGAGTATAAAAGGAAAGAAGTGAAGAAAGTAGTAGTAGTAGTAGTAGTAGTAGTAGTAGTAGTAGTAGTAGTAGTAGTAGTAGCAGTAGTAGTAGTAGTAGCAGTAATAGTAGTAGTAGTAGTAGTAGTAGTAGTAGTAGTAGTAGTAGTAGTAGTGGTAGTAGTAGTAGTAGTAGTGGAAAGAGAAAGAGGAAGAAAAAGAATTAGAAGAAGAAGAAGAAGAAGAAGAAGAAGAAGAAGAAGAAAAGTTCCCTTGTCCTATTGTATTACCAATATGATGAGTCAATAATATAAATTAACAACTACCGTAAGTAGACATCTCCCCGCCCCGGGAAATATACCCCGGCAAAGTTTAAGTATCTCTTGCGCGTGTCTGACTCTACCAAACATCAGCGACGTGTTCGTAAGTAGGTAAAAAGATTGCAACTATTCAATAAAGCGTCCCGCACTGTTACAGCTTCTCCTGGCGCTCAAGACGAGTACTAACTGCATGCCGTTATCGTTACTCAATCGTTATATCCAAGTCGTGTTTATATGGATGGGGGGACGGATGTAGATACAACGACGATCTCTCCCCACACACTCTCTTTCTCTCTCTCTCTCTCTCTCTCTCTCCTCTCTCTCTCTCTCTCTCTCCCCCCTCTCTCTCCTTTTCGCGCAATAAACAGGGACAATAGTCGTTGAGAGAATCGAAAAGGCGATCGAACGAGCAGTGTTTGGAGCAGCTTAGAACATGAAATGCTATATTGCTCTACCATCATTCAAGATCCAAGATTCGAGAGTGCGTAGTAAATTATTCTTCAATCTCTCAATGAATGACGTCTGTCGAGAGCGTGATATACGGAGATGCACGAGATACGATTACTTCGCTCGGACGAGCCGCGCTCGGTGCGCGGATGCTCGCGCGAGGAAAGTCCCTTGGATGAGAGTGGGAGTCGCGTTCACTGACAAGATATCGCGCCATCTTGTGCGTGGACCGATACGGGTACGAGTACGGGTACGGGTACGGGTACGGGTACGGGTACGGGTACGGGTACGGGTACGGGTACGGGTACGGGTACGGGTGTGTAAATCTTTTGAAAGCGAAAGCGGCACGTACGCCAGTACTCCTCTCAACAACGCTGCAACGCGGAAAGAGAGGGAGCGATGCAACGAGCGGCGGGGGTGTATAAGCAATTTAAACATCGCGATGATCCCATTCCAAATCGTGCGGCGAATTGTGGCGACGGTGCCGGCCACTGCTGAGCTCACAATCGTTCTCGCAGTCGGAGCTGTCGAGGTCGTCGTCTCTGAACGAGCCGTCCTCGGAGTCGGAACTGCCAGAATCGTCGACGTCCTCGTCTCTCTGACTCTGATGATGCTGGTCGTGTTCCGTCAGCCTGTCCATCGGGTTCACGGTAATGGCGAGAGCCGAGTCATCCCACGCCATCTCGGTCTCAGCGGCGAGCTCGTCACCGGCGGATCGTCGTCGTTTGGCCGCTCCCCGAACCCGCGCGGCACCCACCACTCCCATCAGCAACAGGAAGCCCATACAGGCAACGGCGACGATGGTGACGGCGTGGCTGCCGCCAGCACCGCCGATGGTCTTGCCGCCTTCGCGAAGGGCGGTGGTAGCGTACTCGTCCGTAAGATCGGCGTGATGCGGCGAGAGCTGCGCGTGACCCGGTGCCGGCTCGACGATCCTCGCGATCGGCGGCTCTCCTCCGGGCGTTGTGCGCGGCGGAACGGTCGTCTTCTCCTTGGGATGGATCACAGCTAACGTCTGCACGTACTCGTTGCTGGCGAAGCGGCCGCTCAGCTCGGAGCAGGTCAACTTGAAGACACGGTCGAGATAATAAGCCGGCTTGCGATTCGTGTACATGATGAGGCGGATGAGCTGCTGGTAGTTGTAGGGCGAATCCGCGCCCGACAGAACGACGCCGTCGCGGTCCACGCGAGCGGAGATGTCGTGGTACGCGAGCAGAGCGTCACCGGGCAATCCCAGACTCTCGTGATCGGGATTGAGGCTCGGATAAACGCTAACGGCGCAAGCGTCGAGTCTGGCGGCCGATCCGGCGGTGACGCGTGCGTCGGGGAACACGCGAACGCCCAGCCGGAAATCGGCGTACTCCCGGGCGACGTAACCGGTGCCGTTGACGGTGATACCCGGCCGAGGAGGTGGCAATACGGTAACGTAGGACTGCACGGTCGGTACCGGCAGAGGTGTGTTCTCGCTACCCTCGCAGACGATCGTGGTGTCGAGACGGAAATTCCGACGACCGGGGGTCGGGAATCGGCGAGAATTGGAATAGCCGATGCGACGCAGCAGAGTCTCGACGTTGGTGCGGTTGTCACCGTCGATGCGTACCTCGGTCAGGTCGGAGTTGGTCAGCAATTGAGTACCAGGTTGCAGCAGGTCCATGGGCGGCACGTGAATGCCCTCCTGGCAACGTCGCAGGCACGACAGCACTTCCGGTTTCTCGTTGCGGCCGACCAGAACGGACAGTCCGGCGAGGTAGCCGCGAAAGTGGTGTTTGGTCTTGTTCTCGGAGCCCTGCCAACAAGCGCCGACCACCAGAGTGGTGTTTACACCCTTGGCCGGGTGTAAAGGCCAGTCGTCGATAACTTCGGGATTCTTTTCGTCGGAGCGCCACTCCTCGCCGTCGACGTAGAGGCTGACACGTGGAAAGTCAACCTGAACCGCGTAATGATGCCATTTATCGTCGCACACCTGACTGAGCTTCCAACGCCATTCGGCTGCGCGGAAAATGTTGGGGTCACCCTCGGAGAAGTCACGTCGCAAGAGCAATATCAATCTGCAATTCCTCACGAACAGGGCGTAATGGTGTCTATTCATCTCTGTAATTGAAACGGCGTGACGTTAGTTGTGCGTATCTATTTTGCTTGACGTCGCTGTCTAATAAAATTGTCTAATATGGCTACCCACCCAACGGACTAGCGTGCGCCTTGTCCTGGAAGGAAAATGAGTGGAGCGGACAAGATGGAGTAAGGTAGTAAGGTAAGGTACCCCTGATTGGGACAGGATAGATCTGATTAGGATAGGACAGAATAGGAGAAGAGAGGAGAGGTCGAGACGGGGACGAGACGTAACATGAGGATTACGTGTTAGTTACCGGTTGGTATCTCGAAAGATTTGTATTTCAGACCAGGGATATAGGTGGAATATTTGAATTTGAATCTTTGTGTGCGTGCGTGCGCACGACCTGATTTCTCGTCAAAATTCATCCCATGAAAGGATCAAGCCGCTTTGTTCGAAACTTTACCATATAATACCACCCGGCGCGTAATGGTTCCAAGCGAACGTGTTTATATTTTAGTGCGCTCAAGTACGCACACATTCTCAATACTACGGCGTAATGTATCTCGTGATACGCGTAGCAACGGTCCATGCGGTCCAATATTTAACGTCGAAAGAACCGTTTGTCATCAGGCACTTTTATTTCCATCATCTGAAATAATGCTTGTCTCTCTCTTATACGTAAATGACGAATGCATAAATACTCACTCGCTCGACAAAGTCGCGAAGTCGGGATAGAGAGAGAGAGAGAGAGAGAGAGAGAGAGAGAGAGAGAGAGAGAGAGAGAGAGAGAGGGTGGGGGGAGAGAGAGGGGAGGGGAGGGAGGGGGAGGGAGGGGGAGGGAGGGGGAGAGAGAGAGAGAGAGAGAGAGACCTGTTGACCGTAGTAGATGATCGCGCGACTTGCCTTCGCTAAAGAGAAACGCCACGTTCGAGCGTGCGATTATGCGTGAGAGAAGAACTTACTATGATCATCGGCGGCGCAGAGTATATGTTCCTTGACGTGCGGATCCTGTCGCGGGCGCGGCCGATGCTTCACCCAGACGCCGATGGTGAATTTCTGCGCCAGACTATGCTCCAGCACGTCATTCGGCACGATCGCGGCCGAATCGACCCCGTCAAACTCGAAGATCTCATCGGCCTCCCTACCCTCGTCCCTGGACAGGGACGCCGTCCAGGATGTCGTGGGTCCGGGTGTAGGTAACAAATCCACGCTGTCTCGCGACGCACCGCACAATTTGCGCTGACTGCGAACGCCGTACGTGTCGCGGTCGCAACCTTTGCCGATGTGATCGGTAACGAGGGTCAATGTAGCGCGCACATTGCGCAGGATACAGGGTGCGTCGCAGAGATCGAGCCGTGCCGAGGGTAACAGAGGCTGCGAGCCGACGCCGGCGGCGTAGTCGACCCTCTCGGGGATGCCTCGCCATCCGGGGGCGCACACACGGTTGACCTTGACCGTCACCATCGCCGGCGCCGATTGCTTCATACCGCAATCATACGCGACCACGCTGAGGATGTAGTTGTGCGACCGTTCATAGTCCAGGGGCTCGGTGTTCCGGATGGCACCCTCGTTGTCGATGATGAACGGCTGGTCGGCGGTGAGTATCTCGTATTTGCAGACGTCGCCAAATTTCGGCGTGCAATCCCGGTCGGAAGCTTCAACGCGAACAACCTCTTCGTAGAGACGTCCCTCGTCCACCGTGCTAACATACGCTGGCTGGAGGAACTGCGGCGCATACTCGTTGACGTCAACCACGGTAATATGAACCGTCGCGCTGAAATGAAATTAAAGTATGTGTACGTGGCATCAAGGTCCCTGCGCTCCTCTGCGTAGCTCGATAGCGAAGCGACGCGACACGACGCGACGCGACGCGACGCGCCGGCGAACGCCGAGTCCTTCGAATTCCAACGTCCAACTCGCTCCGCTCGCCATCGTACATTCGCCATTGGTGGTTAACTCCGCCACGCGGACGGTGCTCCGGCGTGTAATCGCGTTCTTAGGAGCAGGTACCTCGTGGTAATTTTAACGAATAAGCACTCGGTATGGACATCGGACTGTATAAATTGCGGCTTTGTCGATCAAGTTTGCAAATGCGTGCAATCACACTTGGAATGAATTTACTTGCTCTCGAGCTAGTCGAGCAAACGTCAATTATTGTTCTTCCATCGATTCCTTTTGTTTCGCAACTGCGTATTCAAGCCGTAAAACAGATCAACAGTATACAGTCGTATACAGATCTTATGCGATTGGAAAAATCGAAAAAGAGAAGAGAAAGCCCGCGCGCGCTTCTCTGATATTCTACGTCCGATATTCCAAAGTCGTCACCTCGACAAGTTATTTTCACAGATGTCGCACGAGCAAAATTGAACAATCAGTCGCCGTAGAGTTTGCTTTGTAACGTTGAAAATTTCAGAGGTTTCCGGTGAATGATGAAAAATCATGTAAACTATTAAGCGTAAAGTGCGACGCAGGCAGGGAACCTGCGTATATTTTAGCATTTCCGCGCTAACACAACAGGGAAATGCGGATTATTATCTGTGTGTGTGCGTGTGTGTGTGTGTGTGTGTGTGTGTGTGTGTGTGTGTGTGTGTGTGTGTGTGTGTGTGCACGTGCGTGTGCGCGCGCGCGCCCACCGGGGCGGAGATTTAAAAGAATCACAGCGAAGTAAATATTGTCGATATGCTTAATGTAAAACATTTATATGGCAGTGTCCGCTTTACAGCGGTATCGGAAATTTAATATGTGACATATAACGGAAAAGTCAATAAAGCGATACCGCAGAGCCCGTATGAGCGAAAAGGATTGAATTTCTACTCGGAATTGTTTCGTTACCGAAAACACGCGCGAACAACCAGCCAGCCCGAGTTCGAGTTACACTCGGAATTTATCTATGTTGGAAATTTTGAATACGCACAAAATCAAAAAATGCGCCGAAAATCCGCCAGATGATAAGTATAATAACATTAATAATTCGCCGGTTCACCGGTCCGGATCGGAACTTGTTCGAAGCATCATATCGAAAAAGCACGCGCACGTGTAGATTAGATCCGACGCACATTACCAGCACGAGAGCAGCAACATTTGATCGCATGATGTTTGATTATCCGCCGATCGATGTCGCGGATACGGATTTCTATGGTTATCAATCCGAGGAAAATCTTATTGTGAAGTAGTATAAATGAAATAGTTGGTGATGAAAAATTCACCGCGAGATCTTACATATAAAAACATCGACATGTGCACACACACACACACATATGCAAGATGCTTTGCTATTGATCTGCTATTCGTCGGCGGTGATTCGGGTGGCGAGATATCCCAAACGATTGAAAGACGGACGCGAACGCGAACCAGACATTTCGCGCACAGCATACAAATCATGTGCTGTGAACATTGCGCGTTGACACACAAATTTGCGTGCTTTTCTGATAAAAGTCCAAATCATTCGAAATGTGTGTCTCGTGTGACTTCCATGTCTCCCTCCCCCCTCCCTTCCCCTACAATTTCCCCTCGGTTATTTGGTCTCTGCTCTTTTACCAGTTCTCATGAGCTCGCGAGAGACGGAACGAAAAGATGCGCAAACTCGTGGTGAGAAAATTTGCGCATTCAGATCGGGGATCGCCATTTCCTCATTCAGTCGATACACACGTCGGACACTGCAACGTATATAGAGCGATGCGCCAACGCGGTCAGAAAAATTGGCATTGTACCGCGCGCGCTGTACGACACGGACCCTGATGACCCACATCCGCGCGATGACTCGAGCTGTGAAACGTGAGCTGAGTAACGTGTGAGGTAAGATGACGATGAAATGATTTTCCACGAGTATCGTATATGTACGTAAATATCCTTTGATCTTCATCAGAAGAAGACGAAAATCTGTCAATGTTTCCATCAAGCATCCATGTGTGCGTAGGCACGACGCCGACGTTTCGCTAGCGACTGAAAAATCTAGCTAGTCCCTTTAGTTGCGATTGGATCTCTGCGAAAGGAAAGAAAAAATGTTCTACCTACACACACGTGTGTTATATCTGTTATCCGTACACCTCTGGACACGCGGCACTTTCCTTGCCGTTATCTGAGCAAGAGCAAGAGCAGAAAAAGACACGTCGCGAGATATATTGCGCGTCAAGAGCAGAAGAGAGAAGGGAACGAGTCGTCCGTGGAACGAGCTGGAAGTGTAAATTTCAAGTTAGCTTATCCTCGGAGTGCTCGGAGCATCGACGACGGACAAGTTTTTCTCGACGCAGTCTGAAGCAGTCGCGTGCGGAGCAGGACTGCTGCGCGACTCTCACCGTTATAAATTGACTTGAATATAGTAGCGTGTCGCCCATTCCGCTCCACTTTTGTTACGTTTGTTTAATCTCCCCTCGAGAATTTCGTCGGGTCGGATAAACGCGGGTGCGCGCGCTGCAGGTGCGCGGGCGTGCACGCGGCCGCGCCGCGGCGCTCGCGTCGCGTTGTTACACACACACACACACACACACACACACACACACACACACACACACACACACACACAGAGAGAGAGAGAGAGAGAGAGAGAGAGAGAGAGAGGAGAGAGAGAGAGAGAGAGAGAGAGAGAGAGAGAGAGAGAGAGAGAGAGAGAGAGAGAGAGAGAGAGAGAGAGAGAGAGAGAGAGAGAGCGCGTGTAGCCTACTAGCTAGCTCAAGCTGTGATACGCCGGAGAGCGCGTAAAAATTCACGCCAAACTATAGATAACACGTACTTCTCGGATTGCGCTCCGTTGCAGCCGACCGCAGCGATGTCGAACTTGTAATTGCGCCGTTTTTCGCAATTCAGAACTCGAAACGCCCGCAGCTCGGCCATCCCCTTCTCCTTCAGGATGATCTCGAACGGTGCCTCGCCATGATGCTTGTTGGCGATGCGGAAGGAGCAAACCTTGGTACCTAGAGCTCGGATCTGCGGCGTGACTTCGACCAGTGTTTCGTTCTCCTTGACCAGGCCGTGATATCCGCTCTCGAGACTATCCAAATCCAATCGCGGAACTGCGAACACACATAACGCGGTCAATCGCGACGCGAAAAGGGAAGAAGAAAGGGGAAACCGCCGCTCTTTCGCTATTTCCAACGCCACCAAGTCGCCGCACGACCGAACCCGTTTTTCGGCTACGTACGAGTGAAACGGAATCATCGGCAGTCTTCCTTCCTCTATATCTTCCTGCTTCGAAACGAATCGAATCGGATCGGATTTTATAGCTCCTCCTCGTGTATCCCCCATTATTATGTGTGTATCCCCCTCAAGTCGACTGATCACGGCTGATATATCAGCGCGTCGAGCGCGCGAATTTACATAACGGCACATTACAGGCACACACGCAGCATATCACATCTCGTGCGTGAACGCTTATTGAGCGTTTCATTGGTACTGGCTGAGTAACGCTGCGTTTAGGTATATCGTTGTGGGCTTCGACTATGAATGTTTGAGAGAGAGAGAGAGAGAGAGAGAGAGAGAGAGGGAGATACTCGTATTTCTAACGAGGCGTTAAAACGTGGCGTAAAAACAGGTCGATTTAGCGGGTCAGTTAACGAAACGGATCTTTCGAAAAGGCTGCTTGCTGCTGGAATCAAGCACCGCGTAACAAGCAAACTTTTTAATTAAGCGCTCGAGTATATTCGGCGTGCGTTGCCGGCGACTTTCGCGGCCGGTTAAAGCCGGAGAAAGAGAAGAATTTTGGTGGAAATGGGTTAAGTAAAATAAAGGGGGCAGCAGCTCGTTAACTCGTTATCAACTTCTTCAACATCAATGGATAATGAGAAAAGCGTTAAACAACTATAGCATACCGAGAAGCGCTGCGTCGCAGCGTTTGCTTTCGCAACGGCAACTCGGCAAACAAGCGCACGCCGAGTTAATACTGACATTGCCATTTTGAGGCAGTATGTTGTCAACATGTTGATATTCATTTGGTTTGGCAGTACAAGCTCTTCGGTACACGATGTGAAAAAAGAAAAAGATGAAGATGACTTAAAACCTGAGGGGTGAGAGGTGAGATATATTTGTGGGACAAATTGTGTCGTCGATTTTCGAATAGATTCCGCCTCTTGACAAATGTGTATATACGTGCGTGTCTTTTTCTTTTTTTTTCTTTCTTTTTCTTCTCTTAAGTAAACGCGAGTTTCGAGTTTCGTAACATGAACGTACAATGCTACGCGCAGAATCGTAACCAATTCGTCGTTAGCATCAGGTTTCCATATTTTCACGATTATGTCATATACTTGTTGAAGATAAAGCATATATTTCAAACTCTCTGACTGATTATTTATGACAGACTGCTTTCGGTCGTAATACAAAAGTCAATTATGAAACATGCATAATATGCTTTTCGATTATCTCGCAATTACGTAGTCGTTAAATGCAACGTCGAACGCGTCAAAGCTGACATTTTACTTTATGAAAGCCGCCTACGGAATATAATCACGTATGTATTGGAAAAATTATGTTTAGAATTGTTATATTCTGATAATAAATCTCTCTCTCTCTCTCTCTCTCTCTCTCTCGCTCTCTTCAAGCGCGAAAAACTTTCTTCTCTGTTGACATAACGTCAACAATGACTCACTCGCGTCAAGGATAATGTACAACATTTACATACGATACCTGACGAATCTCTCTGCTGCGATTACTCGTTAGCGCGTGAATCGACATTTCGTGGTAAAAACTGTCCACGTCCCGCGAAAAGGTGCGACGTAAAAGGTGTTTTCCTTGCCCGAAACATCAATCACTAGCGCGTTACACGCTAGCCGTCCGGATAAGGTATTCATCATTCATTACGAACGAAAATTGGGAGGTACTTGTGCATCGCGGCTAATATCACTCATTAATTGATACGGTTCTCTCTCGCTCTCGTTGGGTAGCAAATATTCGATTTAGTTGCTAGGACATGTAGTACTTCAACAGCTGATAATCACCGCCGCAATTGTTAATTAACTGTTCGCCTAACATCGAAAAATATACTTTAACACGTACGGGGGGCATTATCGCGTATTGAAATATCGAAGCCGAAGAATCTAAAATGCATTCAATTATCGCGACACGCAAACGCACTACGCGGGACACTAGAACAGCTCGAAATATCGTGAATCGCAATATTGCGTTGTCTTCTGAATATCTCCTGAGTAACAGAAATCTCTAATCTTAGCGACGAGTGATTGGGGGTAATTAACGATCGGTCCTACGCGGATGCGCCCAAATATTTTTAACGCGTAACACAATCCCTGCCCCCTCTCTCTCTCTCTCTCTCTCTCTCTCTCTCTCTCTCTCTCTCTCTCTCTCTGTGTGTGTGTGTGTGTGTGTCCCTCTCGGAACGTGACGAGAATATTAGATTCACATGGCTTTACTTTCGCCAGACTTTACTCGAAATCGTCTAATTTTATCTCGGCTCTTTTTTCCTGAATGATTCACACCACTAGTTTGTTATTCCGAATAACGTGACTAATAAAACGTCATTCGGTGAACGTGATTGTAATCGAGCACCACGCGATTGTCGGAGGGATCCGAGTGACCCGCTCGCACGAGGGACGTACATGTCATTTAATTAACAAGCCACGTACTGTAACGAGTAATCTTTAAAGAAATGTTATCGCGTTATATGTTAATACACGATACAATTATATATATATATATATATATATATATAAAATTGTATATAGTACGAATGACAGACTCGAGACTCAAGCAAAGAAAACAGCATTCGACAGCACTAAGTAGCAATTGCGAGTCGACACGAGAGAGAAGCTGTGTTAAATGCAACAAAAGTCGACATAGCGTCATCATATGCGCGCGCGCGCATACGTCTCGGTATGCGTCACATATACATGCATCACATACAATGGTATCTGCACTTTGATTACTTTACGATCGTCAAGTGCGTAAATACCTTTCGGCAACATCGCGCAGAATTTTGCCCAACTCGATCCGATTTCGGCTATTCTGCAAATCTATAAAACTTTACACAAAATCGATCGTTTCAAACTTTGCTCAAATTCAAAGAGACGTACATATATATCCGCAGGAAATTAATAAATTTTTCATTCAAACACGAATGGAATCGGAAAGAGACGCAGAGAGAAGAATTCTTACTACGAATTTATCCGAAACTCCGACACCTTCGTTACGTCATGCAAAGACTCGGTAAAATCTAACGGAGGACGTGACTAAATATCAACAACCGGACGGACGACATCTACGACGTCTACGATGTTCTACGGCGTCCCTCCACACGAACCCTCCCCCGCCCCGGCATTCCCTTCCCCCAATTTTCTCGTCAATTTCTTACGTTTCAGACCGATGAAAGAAAAAGGGGGAAACCGTTGTTCGATAGCAGGGGGTTAACAGCCGCCTCATTCTTCCCTCGCCCGTTTCGCACGGCGGCATATCGACCGGGTGGGCGCAGTGCAACACGCTCGACTCCTCGTCGTAACGCTGCCGTGTCGTATGTACGTACGAGATGGAAAGAGAGGGAGAGAGGGGGGGGGGGGAGAGAGAGAGAGAGAGAGAGAGAGAGAGAGAGAGAGAGAGAGAGAGAGAGAGAGAGAGAGAGAGAGAGAGAGAGAGAGAGAGAGAGAGAGAGAGAGAGAGAGAGAGAGAGAGAGAGGCCACACAGGCACATACGCGCACGTCCAATAATATCGCCATAACAGTTTCGGCAGCTCGCAGGTGCAACGGACGATGGTCGTATACACCTGCGAGTCACAGCGGTCGCTCGCGCCACAACGATATGATTTCCGAGGGAAAGGAAACCGTCGAGACACATGCACATGCAACAGCAACAGCGGTTGGTGTATGCGATCGACGACGGTGACGGTGTCGGTGGCGGTGGTAGCGGCGGCGGTAGCGGCGGCGGCGGCGGCGGTAGCGGCGGCGGCGGCGGCCGCGGCCGCTCGACCAGGTAAGCGGACGCACGGACGAATGTAGGGCACGGCAAGCGGCAGGACAGACAGAGGGGAAGAGGGCGAAAGAGACAAAAGGCAATATTGTCACCTCCATGATCGTTGCCGAAGAAGCTCGACGGTGTCGACTCGAGGACTGGGATACTCGCGTGGGAGAGGCCAACGCACAGGGCCAACCCGCACAGTAGCGCGCTCGTCGTCGCCAGCAGCATATTTGCTCCGCTGCGATTTGTACCGTCGGCCGCCGTTGTCCTTGTGTTGTCGTCGTCGTCGTCGTCGTCGTCGTCGTCGTCGTCGTCGTCGTCGTCGTCGTCGGCGTCGGCGTCGTCGTCGTCGTTGTCGTCGTCGTCGTCGTCGTCGTCGTCGTCGTCGGCGTCAGCGTCGGCGTCGTCGTCGTTGTCGTCGTCGTCACCACCTATCTACTCGAGACGCGACTCACGCACCTTTACGCGTCCGCGTTTGTCACACTCGACTCCGCGTAACTCTCACTCGCGCGCGCACTCGGAAGAGCACTCGCTTTTTAAAGGAGCATCGCCGTCTAACTGCACAGACGGACGGAACCGACTCTCTCGCGCGCGCGCGCGCTCGCTTGCTCGCACCGTGTTCTCACTCGACACCCCGCACACACAATCGCGCGCGGAGTCAATATTTGAGCGGAATATCGATTCGCCAGTAGAGACGCCAGTGTCGATTCTCCTCGCACTGTCCCGCTGCGGCGCTGCCGTCGTCGTCACTATCGCCGCCGTCGGTGCACGCGACACATTTTAGATGCCGTTCACATGATTTCTTCCACATTGGCTCCTAAAGACGAATATCACTTTGGTTGGTGATATGCGCGCGCACACGCGGCTTTTTGAAAATTTTCAAATATTTCTTCGTACGCACTCGGCTGGACGTAAAACCATGCTAATGAATAAACAGAGAGAGAGAGAGAGAGAGAGAGAGAGAGAGAGATTTATCAGGCGCGCGATAAATTCATTACACTTTATTGTAAATAAAAAAAATATATATATATATACATATAGTTTCGAGATAGAAAACATCAAACATATCCGTACAAAATTTCTCAATATCCCAATAGCCGAGCGATATTCACGTTATTTCGAGATTCAATTTTTGAAATTGAAAATTGGAAAGGAAAACGCAGGGGAAGGAATGTCGATTCCTTCTCTCGGACTCACGTCCTTTTAGTCGTCTCATAATTGTCAAATCTGAAGAATCGTTTCCCGTAGACGAAGCAACTCTTAAATTAGTTGCCTCATTTGAACTTGAGAAACACTCAATAATGCAATATTACATAATGCAATATTATTTCTAAACTAGGGCCTATTTTTCACTTGTTGATTTGCAGATGTGTCCGACGATACACGATTACACGTAATTGTTTGTACATCATCAGAGTGAAATATTGTCATTCGTGCGCCATTAGATTCCATTCTATGTTTCATCGGTGTCATCTCTCGAAATTTATCCATACTGATATCCGATTTGTTGATTACCAATGTGGCAGTTGGATCAATCTCCTTCGGATACATTGTATCCCCACATAAGACAAACACAGTTCCATCCTTTAGATTCACACGCACCTAAAATAATATTTGTACATACATGTATTGCGAGATATACAGTAAAAGATGCGTGTAGACGTGGGCATTTTTGCACACGATGATATCAGTGTGTGCAATTTACATACCGGCAAATACAATTGCACACCTACTTTACCACGCTGTACAGCACAATCTAGTACATGATCTATATTTTGAAATTTAGCTAATTTGGCAACTTCGTACTGTTGAGGTGGTGGCAATACAATGTCCTTCGAGGACCAAATGTTCTCTGGTGTTCCCCACTAAATTTCATACGCAACAATTAATTCTCACGGAAGATAAGTAAAGGTTTAAACTGCCAAGTGTCTCACATTTAGGTCTTCTATCTCGATAGTGTCGTACTCTGCGTAAGGTGCAGACTGCATACAAGCCATATAAAAGACAGTGTTGTAGCGATTCGGTAAATACGTAGGCGTTAACCAATTGCTCCATTCGTGCAGTGCCCACAAGTCAGGGAAGCACTCAAACTGTTTGCAGAATGTCAAGAATTCCATAGCATTATCGTGAATTTTTCTCTGCCATACTCGCAACTCCTTCTTAGGAACTAAAAGTCATACGCGTTTGTTATTAATTTGCTACCGCCAGTTGGTCGATAATGTTACGAATGTGCCTCTTACCTGACAAGTGTTGAGCCCAAACGGAAAATGCTCGATCGTCCCTTCGCCTGCAAATTAACGTTCCACACTCCTCGAAAGTCTCGCGAATCGCTGTTATACGTAGAGAAATCTCCCTTGACAATTCGTTTTGTTGTGACTTAAAGATCTGTGGTCGCACCGCAGTGTCAGGTATCAGAGATGCGAAACTGTCGTTGTTAAAACCAAAGGCAACAAAAAGCTCGCGCCATTTGGGATCGGAGTCAGCTGGACTTATATTACCGCCCGGGAAGACGTATAAACCCGGCATGAAATTCGACTTTTGATGACGTTTCAAAGATAATACATTATAGTTATACTGAAAGCATACACATTGCTGTTAACAAAAGCCAAAGTGCTTGACAACAATTGCTAATAGCAAATCTGTAACAATGACAATGACAATGACAATGACAGCAGAGATTGAAGCAGGTATTACTTGAAAGATTGCATCTTGTATATTTACTAAAGATGTAAAATATAAATAATATCCTGGCTGCAAGAGCTATAGTTTATTTTTTATACGGACTTACTGCGGACGACTGAGTCGGGCACTTGTACTTTTGTGCGTGACGAGCGATTAATATTAAACTTGCTGCATTCCGCCAAGCTGTCATCTTTGAAACTTTGGTAGGTAATTGTCAAGGAGACTGGCTTTCTCACCCCAATCTGCCTGAAACTTTGCAATATATTACGCGTAAAACATTTGCTGCGCAAAACACGAATATAAAAGTTGAGATTGCCACTCTCGAGTGAAACAAAAGTTACAAGGTGACTGCTAAAGAATGACAGTTTAGAACATTGGAAAATTGGAAAATCTGGCGTGTGGACAGCGCACGAGTGTATGAGAGATGCATCAAGGAACAATTACCGCTTCAAGGAGGAGAAAAGAAGAAATTGAAAAGCAGTAAGGTAAATTTGGTTTGATGTTAAAAAATGTAATCATTCACTTGTCAGTGGAACGAAAATATAAAATAGAAATATAAAAATATAAAATATAAAATGAAAGATATATTTCCACAAATTCCACTACTCACAGCTTGACCTTTACAAAATTACATCTTGACTTGGCAAAATCTCGACTGATATTATCGACGACTCGACAACGAGTGTCTCCTCCTCGTGTCTTTGGCTCTCACTCATCAGCACGATTTCTTCCGGCATGCGGTTCATCGTTCTCCTCCGCGCAAACTCGACTCCTCGTGAGCGTACAGAACTGCATTTTTGGTGCTTGTCGTACAAATATCTTATACGTAATATCATATATGCGCAGCAGACGTGAAAAATACGCGGAAATTTGAAATATGGCTTAAGAATATTTAAAAATGTAAACTCTAGTTTTTAGATAAAAAAAATTGAATTGCGTATTTTATACAATATTTTACGTAATTTAATCCTACCCTAAAGCACTGTAACATCAATGTTTATCGTTAAATTGCACAATGCACATGCATATACAGAGTATATACCTTTTAATGATGTAACCAACAAATTAACGTCGCAATGTCTTCAATTAGGTTAGGTTAGGTTAGGTTAGGTTAGGTTTTAGTATGGTTAGGTTTGGTAAAACTATTTGGTATACTATTCATTTCTTTTTCTTCTTTATTACAAAACTAGAGATTTTTAAATATTCCTGAAACATGTTTCAAATTTCACGCATTTTTCGCGCCACTCTTGTATCTGCTCGTTCGCTGTCCGCATGAGACATTTCCCAACCTCCATCACTCTTTAGTACGTCATAACCTCTGTTTCACTTGAGGGCGACAATTTTTTAACTTCCGTATTCGATTCTTTTGCACAATAAAATAGACAATATTCCAAAGTTCCAGGCATATCGGTGAGTAGATCCGCGTTTCCTTGACAATTACCGAAATTATTCAATATGCACCGAGAGAGACACGATGAGAGCTAACAATGGATAGACAATTATTACGGATGCAACGGAAGTTCCATTCCGCCACTCTGCTGACAAATGACTGGCAATCGGTTAGGTCCGACAGGTTCGCCGTATATACGAAGAAACGTTGTTGGAAAGCAATCGCTATCTTTTAACACATTGCATCATCTCGTCCAAACTGGCGATGACTGACGTCAGAGTCGGAGCAGAACACTTCTGCTTGGAGCCATCTATTGAACTATGAACCATCTCGTGCAAATGCAAACGTGTAATCATCCCGGATCGGAAGAAATTGTCGAAAAACTGTTCGCGAAAAACAATTCGTAAGACAAATTGTATTTTTATTCGCAACTTGAATGTACAATTCCTTAAGAAAACCTTAGTCATTATAATTCAATCGCTTTAAATTATTAGCTACAGAGTATTCCGTGAATTCGATTTCAGGAGAATCTACTACGATAATTACGTTTACTCGCTTATATTATCCTCCGTCTTTCCCATCGCCGCAATCATCAATTCGTACAATTGACGCACTTGATCATCTCGCAATTTTTCGAGATCGTCTTTCTTTAGGTACTTGCCAAGCGGTTTTGCCGTATGAGGACCCCTTAACCCGAGCTGTTCGGCTAGAGAGACTGCGTAATCCTGCAATATCAATTGCGATTACTGAATGCGCAAACCGAGCAACCTCGAGAATTATGGATCGTCAACTCCGATAACTCCTTTTGTCAAACTGGTATAAACATATGTAATGTAATGTGTAATGTGTGAACATAACATAACATAACCTAACCTAATCTAATCTAACCTACTCGCACGAGCCCCGCCTCCTACTTACAGTCCATTCGTGAAGAAAAATGATCGCTTCGCTCTCGATGCACTTTTTGTGTCTTCTAAATTCGTCGCGAACGTAATTATCACCTAAAGATTGAATCTCGGCCGGTAGACCGCGGTGTAACCTCAAAATCGTCTTGTACAATATCCTGACGCGTTGCACATGTGCCCGAGAAGCCATGACGCGCGAACTGTTTTCACACGTTAGACGTTAGTTTCACACACGTGTTTGTGTTACACACGTGGGTGGGTATTACGCGAGAGCGCACTGTTGTGTTTATTTCATCAAAACGTCCGTGCGAGATCCGACCGCGCGATCATCGTTACATTAGCCCGTATGTTTCCTTCCGACTTCCACTTATTCCGCCAGAATCGTATCGATTTTCGATGCGGGCACAATTTCGCGCACCTTGAGAGGAAACGTTTGTGTACAACGAAGAGAAAATCTTTGGCTAAAAGATATCGGCTCAATTAATTGTCGTTTTAACGACTAAACGACTATCGAGACTATTCGATGCAACGTCTCGACGAAATGTTCCTATCAATAACCAAAGAGGAATAAAAGGGAAACGAAGAGAGATAAACATATTTAAAGAGGAAAACTTGACCTCGGCTTATTAAATGCAAAGCATCTTTCATTTTTATTCGATAACGTGTGTTACTTTTCCGTTTAACAAAATATTCATCTTGACACCAAAATATCTCTCTCTCTCCCTCTCTCTCTCTCTCTCTCTCTCTCTCTCTCTCCCTCTCTCTCTCTCTCTCTCTCTCTCTCTCTCTCCGTCTATGGAGAATTCCTTAGTCAGAAATAAAGATTGAAGTACTTGAGAACGAAAATGGATTCGACACGAGGAAAAGCACACACAGTATATAACTAAATTCGCTGCCTCGGTTAATATTTGTATAAAAATGTTGCCAATTCCTGCCCAAAACGCTTCGATTTGTTTCTGTGCTGTGCTGTGCTGGACTTTCGATCGCAAACGTGTGAATTGCGCATCCTTACTGACATTGATTATCCTCTGCTGCCGTTAATTATCCTCTGGAGATCTGGTATCTTGAATTTCCTATAACAAAATTGCACTTAACTTTTGTAATTGTCAATAATTTGCAAAGCATCTCGACTCGCATCGAGGTCGATCGCGTGAGCGGATACGGCGGCGGATAGCAGCAGCTCTCGGCGGCATGGTCAGCGGTCGTATTCAGACATTTCTCTTACCCGATTCCTTCGTTCACCGTATTTGGACCAAAATGTGACTTTACAAGCAGACTTTTGTCCAGTTTGCTTATTGAACACGGAGCACGTCGAAAATGGCGGTGAATACAAGTGCAGAGAAACTGCAGGGTTCGTTGCGCTTGAATTTTCAACACGATGCAAACCCATGGAATCTCGAACAGAAAAATTGCAAATAATAATTTATCTTGGCATGCCTATACATATTACTGCCTACACGGTGTAAATTGCACTTTACATTTGTGAAAATCGACAGCTGCGCTGTCGCGTGAGACAACGGCTAAGATCGTATAAGAGAGAACATTTCAACAAGAGAGCCACTTATGTTTCAAGCTTGACGGGGAAATTAATGTGTTTAACATTTGAAAACTGGACGAAGAAGAGTAGTCATGGTACCATTGATATAACAGATCTCGTTCGTATCGAGCGTATTCCTGTCGAGTTCTCTCAGTTCCTCCAATGTATGCGTATTATCTTCTGTTTCGGATGTTAGGTTAGGCCACGCGTATCTCGTCTGACGTGTGAAAAAGCTAGCATATTTTATATGTCTCAATTATATATATGCACGCATGTGCGTGTGTACACGCGCACGCATGTGCGTGTGTACACGCGCACACGCGCACACGTACACACACACACACACACACGCGCGCGCGCGCGCGCACGCACGCACGCACGCACGCACACTCACACACACACACACACACAAACACACACACATACGCGCCGAGTGTTATCGAGTAAACTGTTTTTCACAAACAGTTCCACAAATGAAAGTGGAAATGGTCATTTTTACTTCGCACAGTTTTCCTTGAAGAATTTTCATCACGCAATGTGCGTTGGCATGATCGTGTATGGCTGATCCGTGACCTTCGCCCCAACAAAGCACCATGAGATTAAACCTGCCGTTTCCTTCGTCAACAAGGTTCCTCGTATACCTGCGCACAAAGTGTTATATGTGACATTTTTTTCTCTCGCAAGATATTCTTTATCGAAACACACACACACACACACCTCTCTCTCTCTCTCTCTCTCTCTCTCTCTCTCTCTCTCTCTCTCTCTCTCTCTCTCTCTCTCTCTCTCTCTCTCTCTCTCTCTCTCTCTCTCTCTCTCTCTCTGTTTGCTCAACTTAACATTTCTCATTCAATTCTGCCACATCATCGTTCGACGATTTTTTTCCTGACGATAAATTGGTTTGGAATTTTGGTACGCGAAATTTTGGTTTACTACTTTAAATCGTTTACACACACGTTTATAATAATGAATAATATCATCGCGTCAGCCAACTGGCCGAATTTAGAGTAGAAGCGCATATTACGACGACGTTTTACAGATATTGGCATACAATCGAAAACTAGTTTAATTAAATATTAATTTCACGCACGCACGCACACGCGCGTAAAGTGGGGAAAAGCAACACACATTATCGATAATCGATCGTTACGCTCGTGCAATATGTAGTGAAATATTTTTATATACTTGTTTGTGAACTTGGTTGTGAATGAACTCTGTGACGCGGCGTCGAGAGAGAGAGAGAGAGAGAGAGAGAGAGAGAGAGAGAGAGAGAGAGAGAGAGAGAGAGAGAGAGAGAGAGAGAGAGAGAGAACGTTCCGAACGATCAAGCGTTGTATCAAGACGAGTCGATCAAAATTTACGTCTCGATAATGTTCGGAATTTCCATATATACGCGAAGCAAATAAAAAAGTTGAGAAGTGCCGTTCGCTTGTACACGTAGGAATATATATATATATATATATATACATATATATATATCGAGCGTCGATGTACAGAGGTATGAATTGCTGGTTCTAGCTTGAACTGCGAACACGCGGCGTGCACAGGGCGCGGAGAAGGGCGAGACGTGCGTGCGGAAAGTGTGTACAATCGAGCCACCGAGCGATTCATCGGTCTTTGCGCCTTTGCGTCTCTATATGGTCTCTATACTCTAAACTCTAAACGAAAGCGTTCGCTAAGGCGACGATAGTCGACGAGTGTTTCTCACGTGCCACCGGTGCCACTTGCGAGTATAATATTATTGCGAACAATGCGAAACGTTCGCTAGGCGTACGTTAACGGTCAACGGTCAGTATCGCGCGCTAAGTCGTTTCGTTTTTCGCTTTCTCTCCCTCCTTCGTTCTTGCATGTTCGTCGCATGCCGCGCGTGGCGCGTTCCCTTGGAACGCGTTGCAATTTCATCATGATTCAATGTTCCGTCGTGCTTTGTGACAAAGTGCTCTGTGTGCGTGTCGTTGGTTTGGTACGTTACATACAAGTTACTTCGTCCTTCAACCGTTTTTAATCGAGCGCTGTGATTGGAAGCACGTACGATCGAGCTGGGGTCTCTCTCCGACCCAGAGAGGCCAAACTGATCGTGTTCAATATCACATGCGTGATGTGAAATATATTCGCGCGATGCGCGAGACAACTTTTTTGCATAAGTGATCCCGTACAAGTGATATTTGTCCGCGCGACTCGTTGTCATGCTCTACTTTGTGTCTCGGACGACACCGCTCGGCGAAAACGCTCACTACACAGTTTCCGCTACACTTTCCCGAGTCACGTTCCCGATCTCGCGCGACTGCTGCGCGAGACTGCTCTAATGCTCCCACCCGCATCCAAGTTATCTCTCGTAAAGAGTTGTTAACTCGTTTTCATCACGCTCATCGTCTGTATCAACATCTCGCGCTGTATCGCGCGAGAACAAGAAGATCGAATGGCGAATCGATATGGCTACGCGACAATGTTTTGCGACGCGCGCGCAAAGTGAAAGTGAAGTGTGAACGTCAATATGAATGAATGAATGAATGAATGAATGAATGAATGAACAATTTTCAGAATGCGAACATGAACATGAAATTTCGTCGAGGTCTGTCCGCGCGCGGTTACACTACTACACGTGGCACGTGGCACGTGGCTCCCCCGCGAGCTTAATCAAGCAGAATATCTACATCTGCTTTGTGTAGATTACTCATTTAGATTCATTTCTTTTATCTCTTTTTATTTCTTATTCCTTCGAATTCTTTCGATTCGAAGACTAAACCCGACGATTAGCCGCTTCTCGGCCGGCAGACCGAGGCAGGCGGCAGGTGAAAGTGACAATTTATGATCATGTTAAAACATGCGAGCGAGACAATTCAGAGGAAGGGAGGGAAAGAGAGGACTTCTCTCCTTTTTTCTCCTTTTTACAATCTATACTCTGTATGTAAATTGTGTACTGTGTAGCAGACTACACAAATGTTGTAGGGCACGTGTCCGAGAATAGGGTTATTAGCGCGCTATTAGCGCACACCACACTCAGACTCAGTTCACGTGGCCAGATGATAGCGCTAACAAAAACGCGCGTCATCGCGCATCAACGTTGTACGCGATATTGAATTAATGCGCTGTCAACGCTATTCCTCCCGAGACAGCGCATTTATATAGCGTAAACTCCGTGGAAACGCTGCGAAACGCCGTCGTACGCGTCAGTACGTGGCATTTTTAACGGCTTCGTTGCGTACCTACACGTCGTATACGTTATTTTACCACTTACGTACGCAATGGAGATGGTAAATGGTGGAAGTGAAATTCTCAACGGGACGCTGAAGCTGAAGGGGAGCGATTAAACCGCAATTGTCATCAACAGCAATTGCTACTTTTGCAGCACAAACCGGCGGGCGCAAGCCTATGGTCGCGTTACAAACCGCGGTTACGACGCAGTAATGCGCTAACGCGCACACTGTTCGTGCCGTGTTCGTGCAGCTCGCTATCTCGTTTTATCGCGCAATCGCGCGATCCACAAATAGTTTGGTAGAGCGCTAATAGCGTCTCGTCGAACGCACCCACGGTGCATATATTGCATTTGCTCTGTACTTGCGTCGGACGTGTGTAGAAAATCGCTGCTCGACAAGTTACATAGCGAAAAATTGCAGTTTTGCAATTCTGCCGGTTCAACTACTTTGCCGTCGATTACTTTTCGTCGGAATTTTGTGACAGCCACCCTGTGTGTGTGTGTGTGTGTGTGAGTAGCGCTCGGTTGCATCGCTCGGTTCGTTGCAACGATAACGATTGTTGACGGTGCCGAATAATTCTAGAGCGCTCTCTCGCTCTTATCGCGCGAATAAAGATATTTCGCGAGGATATCGAATCGCGCCCCGCGCACGAGCACGGGCAATAAATAAGTTGATCTCGTTATGACTCGTGAGTGATTTGCCAATTGGATGGAACGACAATAATGTCGAGAGAATATATAATAACGATAATAAAACATTTCAATGCGTAATTTCGCTTTAAATCCCCTGAAGCAGTTTATTCTTATTTACCGACCAACAATTATTGGCAATCTGCGTGTAAACTCACGCAGACTAATTAATTAATTGCTTGTAATTGTATCTGGCGTGGAACGCCTCGGAACAGCGCTGATTTGTAAACGAGATAATGATTCCTCGCGATTACCTCGCGAGGATATACTTGCTCTATACGTTACATACGTGTCTATATGTTACATACCGTCGTACATTACTCGCGCGCAAGCACAATCGCGCGGAGATGGAAAGAGAATGGATTCAAACGACGACCCCGCTCGACAGCAGAGCAGAGATTGGCGATTTTCGCGTTTTTCACCACCCAACGACGATGCTCCACGGGGCATCATGGATCGCTTCGTAACAAGGTCACTGAAATCTTTTTCGCGTCGCATTTCGCGACGCGCGATCATGCATCTCGGGGACGGGGGATCGCGGGAGAGACGCGCGGGAACAGACAGCGATAACCCGTCGCTGAACTTGGTGTTGCGTTAATTCCATTTTACAATCCATAAATCCGTGGCGTGGTGCGCATTTTGTTTATGCTCGAGAATATGCTCACCGAAGACACTTATTTGCCCAGTTTACCACAATGGTGCAACACAAACGCAACACAATGCGCCGAAATGCGCTGTTTCCAGCTGATATCCGACCGACGTTATCCGTTATCTCGACAATAGTGCGCCGAATTGTGCGCCGGCACAAGTCAGTGTTTAACTAGTCGATAAATTGCGAGCCGAAATGCATTGCGCGCCTTTAGTAATTTTCCTCGCGGATAATAGCGAATCTTGCCACTTGACAGCTATCGGCAGCGACCTGTCTCTGACGGAATTGTAATATAACCAGGGCTATATTCTCCCTGTTACGTATATGTCCGCCGACAATTGTCGCGTTTCGGCACTAGTCATTAGCGCGCAGCTACCTACCGATGACCCACGATGATTCGAACCGATAAAGCCGTGTCGACGAAGCAAAATCCCCAACTCCCAAGTGCCCAGCCAGCCCAAGATCGGTAACAATCGGAATTGATTTTACGCACGTACGCACGCACGATACGTTGCGGCGCGAGTTAATAAGTAAGTAGATTAGTTGATGTATCGACAAAGAATATTCATATGAGTGAGAGAAAGGGGGACAGAGAGAGGGAGGGAGGGAAGGAGGGAGGGAGGGAGGGAGGGAGGAAGAGAGAGAGACAGAGAGAGAGAGAGAGAGAGAGAGAGAGAGAGAGAGAGAGAGAGAGAGAGAGAGAGAGAGAGAGAGAGAGAGAGAGAGAGAGAGAGAGAGAGGATACGATACCTGTATCTATCAAACTTGGCAAATTTCTTCCAATCCGCGGGGTTGCTCTTGTAGCTCGTCATCAGATGTTGCACGTGGTCGATATTCACGTAGTCCGTCTTGAAAGCCTCGTGTAGAGCATCGATGAGTTCCCGAAGGGTGGAAACTTGGTCCTGCTCAAATTGCTCTCGATTCTCGGGGGGAAGCGACGATTTTCCGCAGGGTACATCGAGCAAACGAGCTCTCCCGTTGGAGATGTCCATCTTTCCAGTAGCGGCTTGCCCGGCTTGCTCCACTTGCTCCACTAGTAAAAATTTCGAGTTTCCTACCGATGTTCACCGATGTAATCACAATGGATATAAGCGAGTGGGAGTACGATGAATTTCGAGGGGAATTTGGTTAGCAACGGAAAGTACCGAGAACGTTGAAACGTGGCTGACTCGAGTAGTCGATTCGTGGTCGACTCGTGGTCGTACCTGATTCGTCCCGTGAACCACAGTGAACCCGTAGAATGCAGCGCCAATACGAAAGCGAAGGGAAAGAAAGAGGCTTGAGAGTACCCTGTGTCTTACGCCGACCGTTAGTTTGACTGTGCGACCGCGCGAGATTGTACTGTAATCTGTACTATCTCGTCTAACTCTGTCTTTACCCGCCTACAGCTCGTACCGATCTAGTACGACGTGGTCGCGACGTCTTATATGCACGATACAACATATCCCCTACTCCCCAGCCGAGCTGGCCGACCGGTCGGTACGACGAAGAAGCCGTCGAACGACGATATTTCCCAAATTTTCCCCTTCTTTTTTCTTTCTTTCCCTCACTCTCCTCCCCCCCCCGCTCTCTCTCTCTCTCTCTCTCTCTCTCTCTCTCTCTCTCTCTCTCTCTCTCTCTCTCTCTCTCTCTCTCTCTCTCTCTCTCTCACTCATTCACTCATTCTATCCAACGTCTGCTTCCCCAATAATTAGTACTGATCCAGTGTATTCCAAAAACTAGATAGAACTAGAAAGTTTTGCGGCTCATTGGAAAACGTACAAATAATATGCGACTTTTTCCGCAGACTTCGTCTGATTATGCAAATTTCATTCTTAACATACCACAGGTGCACATTTATCTCGAGTACTCGGCGCAAATGGAATGAACGATTAAATATATCAGACAAGTGTCCAACTGTGTGTACATCATGTATTTGAGTCATATTTGTGAGTGTGTCATATTTGAATTTCGATATTCGTCAATCATATGACGAAACTACTGACCTAATAATAATAATAGTAATAATAATAATAATAATAATAATAATAACAACAACAACAAAAACAACAACAACAACAGTAGTAGTAGTATATGTTTTTAATGTTTCCATTTTAAAGCAATAAAGGTCTTTGTGACGTATAAAGTATACGGTATAAAGTATACGGTACGTACAAAGTATACATATAAAATATACGGAAATATATACATACGCGCGTGTCCGAGTCTTTATCTCTTTATTATCCAAAGAAAGATCAATATCGTATCAGACAGTGTCATCGAATCATTTCGGCAACCCTGTTTAACGTACAAAGTGTTTCAAAAGTAGGTGGCTAAATTTTAAGAATATATTTTACTCACTGTGTGTGGAGGGTGGAAAAAGATCATATAAACATGAGTAGTCCGGGAAGATTTTTTTTCCAAGTTATAAACACTTTGTATTTACAACAGATATATTTCATCATCGACGAGTCATGCATTATCCTTTATTCTCTCTCTCTCTCTCTCTCTCTCTCTCTCTCTCTCTCTCTCTCTCTCTCTCTCTCTCTCTCTCTCTCTCTCTCTCACTACATCATTTCGATATTCCAAAGAGATATTTCGAGGAAAGTCGCAACGTTACCAAATTGTTTGACCAACTGTAAAAGCGCACACGTGTGTCAATAAACCAATTATTTTGACAGAACATCGTTTGTTCATTGGTGTAAGATTCGGATTAAGAAAACATCGATCGAGATGGAAGATGTCCTTTTCTTTTCGTCATCTCGTTCTTCTCGTCAATCAAATCTTTGCTCTCAGCTCGGCATAGGCGCATACCTCAGTGCATGCCCAGTGCCAACCTTTGACTCTCCTCCGCCTTTCCTTTTTCTCATCGTAGGATTGACCTGCGAGCCCTCGCCGCCGCCGCCGCCGCCGCCGCCGCCGGCGCCGCAGTAACAGCAGCAGCAGCAGCAGGGTTTCCTCCCGCGTCATCGTGTACAGCGTGCACCGACTCGCTCATCTTCCGTTGCATCCTTCATTCATCAGATCCGAGAAGATGAAGCTGAGTCGCTGATAAACTGGGTAGCTCTTTGGGGCGTTGTCGTTCGGGCCTTTCGTAACAGCGACAATCCTTGGCGGCATGGTTCAGCCTGAGATTATCTCTCGCGAAATACCGTCTGATTTCCCTCCTTGGTTTCCAACTACTGACCCGAATCATCTCGCGAGTTTTGTTCGCTCCTCCAACGGCGTGTTCGCGCGCACGCTTCTCATCCGGAAGGTCATCCTGGCAGTCGCAGACATCCGACGGCAAGCCGCAACGTGGGCATTTGCCGATCGGTGGTGCTCTACATGTGCATTCGTTTCGGGGATTATCGCAGTACAGACAGATCATCGGCTTCTTGCAGATGCAATTCGCTCTCGCGGCGACATGCTCGCGCCGATCGCGCTCGTCTCGTTCTCTGCAACAATCGATGAGCAGCGATTGAGACGGTCTCGCGATTATTATTACCTTATTACCTACCTACCTGCGCTTGAGCTTGAGTGTGTCGTGATGAAATTTTTTCTCTTTTCTCTCTTTTCTTTTCGTCTCTCGGTAACTTTGATACTTGAGATATCACTTGGATCATACGCACGTGTGTGTGTGTGTGTGTGTGCGCGCGCGTAATGTATACGTAATATTATTATTAATAGTATTAATAATAAAGAGACTCTGAGACACACAC